CAAACGGACTGTTGGTTGTCAGTTATGTACACTGTGAACAAACGGACTGTTGGTTGTCAGTTATGTACACTGTGAACAAACGGACTGTTGGTTGTCAGTTATGTACACTGTGAACAAACGGACTGTTGGTTGTCAGTTATGTACACTGTGAACAAACGGACTGTTGGTTGTCAGTTATGTACACTGTGAACAAACGGACTGTTGGTTGTCAGTTACACTGTACACTGTGAACAACGGACGGACTGTTGGTTGTTAGTTATGTACACTGTGAACAATCGGACTGTTGGTTGTTAGTTATGTACACGTGAACAAACGGACTGTTGGTTGTTAGTTATGTACACTGTGAACAAACGGACTGTTGGTTGTTAGTTATGTACACTGTGAACAATCGGACTGTTGGTTGTCAGTTATGTACACTGTGAACAAACGGACTGTTGGTTGTCACTGTACACTGTGAACAAACGGACTGTTGGTTGTCAGTTATGTACACTGTGAACAAACGGACTGTTGGTTGTTAGTTATGTACACTGTGAACAATCGGACTGTTGGTTGTCAGTTATGTACACTGTGAACAATCGGACTGTTGGTTGTCAGTTATGTACACTGTGACTGTTGGTTGTTAATGTACACTGTGAACAACGGACTGTTGGTTGTCAGTTATGTACACTGTGAACAAACGGACTGTTGGTTGTCAGTTATGTACACTGTGAACAATCGGACTGTTGGTTGTTAGTTATGTACACTGTGAACAAACGGACTGTTGGTTGTCAGTTATGTACACTGTGAACAAACGGACTGTTGGTTGTCAGTTATGTACACTGTGAACAAACGGACTGTTGGTTGTTAGTTATGTACACTGTGAACAAACGGACTGTTGGTTGTTAGTTATGTACACTGTGAACAAACGGACTGTTGGTTGTTAGTTATGTACACTGTGAACAAACGGACTGTTGGTTGTCAGTTATGTACACTGTGAACAAACGGACTGTTGGTTGTCAGTTATGTACACTGTGAACAAACGGACTGTTGGTTGTTAGTTGTACAGTTGAACAAACGGACTGTTGGTGTGAACAAACGGACTGTTGGTTGTCAGTTATGTACACTGTGAACAAACGGACTGTTGGTTGTTAGTTATGTACACTGTGAACAATCGGACTGTTGGTTGTTAGTTATGTACACTGTGAACAAACGGACTGTTGGTTGTCAGTTATGTACACTGTGAACAAACGGACTGTTGGTTGTTAGTTATGTACACTGTGAACAAACGGACTGTTGGTTGTCAGTTATGTACACTGTGAACAAACGGACTGTTGGTTGTCAGTTATGTACACTGTGAACAAACGGACTGTTGGTTGTGTAGTTATGTACACTGTGTAACAAACGGACTGTTGGTTGTCAGTTATGTACACTGTGAACAAACGGACTGTTGGTTGTTAGTTATGTACACTCTGCACAAACGGACTGTTGGTTGTCAGTTATGTACACTGTGAACAAACGGACTGTTGGTTGTCAGTTATGTAGTTATGTACACTGTGAACAATCGGACTGTTGGTTGTTAGTTATGTACACTGTGAACAAACGGACTGTTGGTTGTCAGTTATGTACACTGTGAACAATCGGACTGTTGGTTGTTAGTTATGTACACTGTGAACAATCGGACTGTTGGTTGTTAGTTATGTACACTGTGAACAAACGGACTGTTGGTTGTTAGTTATGTACACTGTGAACAAACGGACTGTTGGTTGTTAGTTATGTACACTGTGAACAAACGGACTGTTGGTTGTTAGTTATGTACGGACTGTTGGTTGTTAGTTATGTACACTGTGAACAAACGGACTGTTGGTTGTTAGTTATGTACACTGTGAACAAACGGACTGTTGGTTGTTAGTTATGTACACTGTGAACAAACGGACTGTTGGTTGTTAGTTATGTACACTGTGAACAAACGGACTGTTGGTTGTCAGTTATGTACACTGTGAACAAACGGACTGTTGGTTGTCAGTTATGTACACTGTGAACAATCGGACTGTTGGTTGTTAGTTATGTACACTGTGAACAAACGGACTGTTGGTTGTCAGTTATGTACACTGTGAACAAACGGACTGTTGGTTGTCAGTTATGTACACTGTGAACAAACGGACTGTTGGTTGTCAGTTATGTACACTGTGAACAAACGGACTGTTGGTTGTCAGTTATGTACACTGTGAACAAACGGACTGTTGGTTGTCAGTTATGTACACTGTGAACAATCGGACTGTTGGTTGTTAGTTATGTACACTGTGAACAAACGGACTGTTGGTTGTTAGTTATGTACACTGTGAACAATCGGACTGTTGGTTGTCAGTTATGTACACTGTGAACAAACGGACTGTTGGTTGTCAGTTATGTACACTGTGAACAAACGGACTGTTGGTTGTTATGTACAGTTATGTACACTGTGAACAAACGGACTGTTGGTTGTTAGTTATGTACACTGTGAACAAACGGACTGTTGGTTGTCAGTTATGTACACTGTGAACAAACGGACTGTTGGTTGTCAGTTATGTACACTGTGAACAAACGGACTGTTGGTTGTTCAGTTATGTACACTGTGAACAATCGGACTGTTGGTTGTTAGTTATGTACACTGTGAACAATCGGACTGTTGGTTGTTAGTTATGTACACTGTGAACAAACGGACTGTTGGTTGTCAGTTATGTACACTGTGAACAAACGGACTGTTGGTTGTTAGTTATGTACACTGTGAACAAATCGGACTGTTGGTTGTTAGTTATGTACACTGTGAACAAACGGACTGTTGGTTGTCAGTTATGTACACTGTGAACAATCGGACTGTTGGTTGTTAGTTTGTACACTGTGAACAATCGGACTGTTCCTCATTTTACACAGTGATGGAGATGATGAACATTGACAGACTGTATGTCAGTATGTACACTGTGAACAAACGGACTGTTGGTTGTTAGTTATGTACACTGTGAACAAACGGACTGTTGGTTGTTAGTTATGTACACTGTGAACAAACGGACTGTTAGATATCTAGCCGAAAATGATAATGTGAAATGAACATAGCCTAACATTTAATTTCTGCTCAGTGTTTCATAAAAACAGGTGCTTGATAGATGACAACCCCTTTTTACTATTAGGTTATTTTAACAGAGATCCTAATACTGTTGTCATACAAAAGTGACTCTTCCCTTCACAGATCATAGTATAACTAACTAAAAAAGTATATGGGTGTATTCGGGCAAAATATGAATTGGCTACTTACCCCAAATTGAAGTGTCCATAAAATATTCGTGTTCTTTTTCAGTAATATTTAAAATCAGGTAAAATAAATTAAAATCAGGTAAAAGTTTATTTCAAACTATTCTCAGTTTTATTGATACTATTGCAAAGCTAAAGGTTTTAACAATATAATGCATACAACTTACGCTTGTTTTTGTCAAATTTATCTTTCGGTGAGTTTTGAAAACACATGAATTTGTAATTTTGGCCCAAATTTCATTTTTGATGCTTGAAACACAACTATTAAAAGAAATTTCAACAGACATCTCTATGCAGAATAAAAGATCAATGTAAAATTTGTTTTGTTGAAATTTATGAAATATTTCAGAAGTTATCACACATTTCGTGAAAATGTTTGTTTGTGTAAATTTATAGATTGTGGCTTGTTAAACCTCCGTTTGGAGTTCATCTCTCTGACGAGCCAAAAACCAGTAGTCTATAAACCGCAGCCGTCTGAGATATGAATGAATGGATGGATTTCTTTATTTCCTCAAGAATCTGAAGATTATACATAGGCAAATACATTATTTTCAATGCATTTGTTGGATTACTTCAGTGTACATAATGGCACCACGTGATATAGTGTGCTGCTCTTTAATAAATGATTGACAGTGTACAATGTGTGAGCAGTAGGGAGTATGCGTTCAGCAGATATACATGACCTGTTTCTTTGGATTCCACATGAAGTGACAACATGACAGTATGATGTATGCCCAAGTATCAGAATCAAATTTGTCAGTTAAGTCTTGAATATCTGCCCCATCAACATATCATCATCGTCAAGCATGTCTGTTTTGAATTCACATATACATCAACATCAAGTTTGTCAGAAAATAAAATAGAAGATTTACAGTGCAAGAACATATCATCCTCATAGCAATGTCGACTACAGTGGCTACACTCTGTCTTAGGTATAAACTGTGGATGATTGGTATTAATGGTAAAGGCCTCTATGCCGATCAATCGATGAACTTGGTCGTTTGATCGTTTATATTTTGAAACACTCGGTTTGGTCATAGTGACGTCAGGAGTGTGCCAGGGGCGTATGCTATCACCAACACTGTTTTCAGTTTTAATAGTAAATTTGGCTAAAGAAATCAATGGCTTAAATTCTGGTAGTCAGCCGGACGACTAAAGGCTGAGTGTATTACTGAATGCAGACGACGTCGCGCTTATTGCGCCCAGAGACCATATTATATGGTCTCTGTTGCGCCACATGAGAATTGGCTGTTGCGCATGTTGGATTGCGCAGCTCACTGGTCCTTGCAGTGGCGACTTTTAATAAACATTAAGAAATACGAATTTCTATTAATGCTTAAATTGTAAAATATCGCTGTGATCCAGCAATATGTAAATGTGCCAAAGAACGATTCTACTTTCAATTTAATCTATGATTTTAAATGGTTTTTGATGCACCATAAGCCGGATGGTCGGTTGACTGTAATTATATATTTATCGCTGATGTATTTACAGACACGTGACATATAAATAAACAATACTTTTGTTTGTTTGTTTCTCTTGGACTTTGCCACACTATCCGTTTAACACCAAGCAACACCCATTTACAATCTTTCTTTCGTGTTTTGTTTTCTTTCTCTCCTGTTTTCCTGCACTATCAGTTAATCCCAAAGCAACACCCATATAACAACGCAATACGTTGAATCACCACAGTCTCGGTGATAGCTTCCCGCTCAAGTAACTCCACTAGGGCCAATGCAGGATATTAGATCCCCACACTGCAGCAGCTGTTCTGGCTTGTGTTACAGGATTTCAGATGTGAGACCAGTCTGTGCTACCAAGGTAAGACATTCATTTACTGTATACTGTACATTAGGCTTCTACCGTATTTTCACTGTTTTTAAAATCTAAATTTTAAAATTCGAAAGTTACAAATGACTGAGAACTGTCCTGTTTGCATAACTGTCAAGGTTTTGACTCATGACATGATCAGGTACAACAGAAGTATTGAGGACAAAGTTTTAACATAAAGAGAAAATCTAAATATGAGCACATTGGATAGTTTCTTTCAGGAGTTTGAACTACCATCTAAGAAAATCCGATCGAAACCGTTAAAGTTCAGATGTGATAAAATCTTTTCCTGGTGTGTTGTAAATTCAGCCTGTTTTTGAATGTTGTATTAATTCCCAATTCACGGGATGTCACGGGAGAGAGAGAGAGAGAGAGAGAGAGAGAGAGAGAGAGAGAGAGAGAGAGAGAGAGAGAGAGAGAGAGAGAGAGAGAGAGAGAGAGAGAGAGAGAGAGAGAGAGAGAGAGAGAGAGAGAGAGAGAGAGAGAGAGAGGATCTCCTCTACACGTAATCGTTCTTTGTGTGTAACTCAGACGCCAACTAGACTGACGAAAGGCAATCTAACATTTATTTTCCCATGCTTTTGATATGCTTGGAATGGGACCATGGACTGTGCTTTGGATGACGAAGCGGTCTCAGCAGAATGTGGCGCTTGAAACCTATAATTGGAAACGTTTCTGTCAACATTCAAAGTTCCGGGTTCATTATATTACGCAGTCTTGAGGTTGAAATGACGCTGGTCTTAGACGACTGGATAAACACATGACCTTGGGAGGTAACAGTATGACCTTGGGAGGTAACAGTATGACCTTGGGAGGTAACAGTATGACCTTGGGAGGCAACAGTATGACCTTGGGAGGTAACAGTATGACCTTGGGAGGTAACATTATGACCTTGGGAGGTAACAGTATGACCTTGGGAGGCAACAGTATGACCTTGGGAGGTAACAGTATGACCTTGGGAGGTAACAGTATGACCTTGGGAGGTAACAGTATGACCTTGGGAGGCAACAGTATGACCTTGGGAGGCAACAGTATGACCTTGGGAGGTAACAGTATGACAATGCTTAAATGCATGCTTGTCCATATTTGTTTGTTTAGCGTTGGAAAACCTTCAACATTCGAAATATATGACGTGAATCTGTAAAATTCGAGTCCGGGCAGGTTGGTGAATGATCTAGGCAGATGGGATATGGCGACATCTATCAGCCAGGTCATCGAGTCTGGCTAACATATCTCGTTAGTCGCCTCTCACAAACAGCGTGGTTTATGGAGACCAGTTGTAACATAGATCCTCTAGATGTACATGTACACTGGATACTAGTCATTGCCGTTCCCAGTTTCGAGATGCTATTAGAACCCCGCACCCTGAACGATGCACATGTATAAGCCCAGTCACCAATCTGATAGAATTATATATGTCCTGTTGTCAACGTTCACAAATGATCGTCACCCATGTAGCAGCGTATGAACATTGGGTGCATTTTAGTCATATGTCAAACTAATCAATTTCTAATCGAAATTTAGAAAGTTAACAACGCCAGATAAAGATGTGATGTGAGCAACGGTCCCATGCCCTGCGACGGGCACATGTCACTCAGTAAACGCTAAAGTACGTTCCATTACACCAATCGGAGACTTGATCAGCCCAAACCATAACCGGTTGGTCATTCTGTGCCTCTAAGGGGGACAACTCGTGTAACCTTCCGTGTACTGAGTGCAAGCGACTGATAAATGTTGAGATTCCTCATGAGCTTACCATCACCTTAATGTAAAATGGCTGTTGCTTGTCATAGATATTCCATTCATGAGTTGGTCTGAGTCAGAGAAGTAAATATGTGAAGATTAGTAGAATTTAGGTAAACTCCCAAACTGCACTGTAGGTGTCGTGGCTTTCTGGTGGACGTTTTACAGGGTTAGAGGGCTTTATATAGTCACGTTCATATTTCCTATTTTTCAAAATCATGGTACAATGTATGGAACCGGCAAGTCGTGTTCAGTTGTGGAAAACGCCAGAAAGTGATAGCACGAAAGGATAAAGCGAAAACAAGAAACGTAAAGCGATAGCACGAGACCAGAAAGTGATAAGACGAGTTGAGAAAGTGATAAACCGAGATGAGAAAGCGATAGCACGAGACGAGAAAAGCGATAAAACTAGATGAAAAAGCGGTAGTACGAGACGAGAAAGCGATAAACCGAGATGAGTAAGCGATAAACCGAGTCGAGAAAGCGAATAACCGAGACGAGAAAGCGATAACATGAGACGAGAAAGCGATAACACCAGATGAGAAAGCAACAGCATGAGACGAAAAAGCCCGATAACACGAGACGAGAAAGCGATAGCGAGTTGTGGAAAAAGCCACAAAGGGATATCACGAGAGGATAAAACGATTACAAGAAGCGGAAAGCGAAAGCACGAGACGGGAAAGCAATAGCACGAGACGAGAAAGCTATAGCACGAGGCGAGAACGCGATATTTGCCAGTCGCTTTCTCACTTTCTCTCTTTAAGGCAGTAGGGCTCCCGTTAGATCACCATGGGGTGGCATGAGACAGGTGTTTCTTCTTGACGAAAAGAACCTACGTAAAGTGACAGTAATTAATGGTTAAACCACACCTTATTATAATTCAGGGGTGGACTATATATAGACGTCATGAAGATATGGAGATGGGTGGTGTCGATATGGGGATGGTAAAGGTGAATCATGCTGGGTTGGGTCTTTTTATAAAAGAGAGCTGTGAGCATTTTTTCATTTCAAAGTTAACTGTAAAGGGAATGTTGAAATCATGCCACTATTTTCAAAAACAAACTATTGTTTAGATGGGGGCGAGTTATTACAAACAAATGCAAGGCTTTAGCGAACTAAGTGATTGCTTTAAAGCCATAATCGGTTGTTTAATGGAACCATCGTGACGTCAACGGTCACACTCTTTGAATAAAACAGGTTAAAATCTGAACATATACTACTTTAAACATAATTGAAAAGCCCTTTCTTTTATACGATTAATTTGTCATAGCTGAAAATTATTGTTAAACACCCTCTACAAGTTGCAGGTGTATGTTAACATTTCTAGTGAGCATAATGATTGCTGTCCGTATATATTCTTCTTGTCATATGAGGTAGTGAGTGAGTGAGTCTAGTTTTACGCTTTTAGCAATATTCCAGCAATATCACAGCGGGGGGCACCAGAAATAGGCTTCACACAATGTACCATGTGGTCTTGTCATATGAGCTATGATCAACTTGCTTGATGTCACTTGACGTGTACAACTGTATATCTGCTTGCATTCAGTGCACGTGGCGTGATAAACATCCCCCGTGACAATGATATTATAATTGATGTGCGTACATGTGCGCTGGCTTCAAACATATTCACCACACAGTATTTAAAGTGAAAATACAATTTTACTGGCGACATATCAGGAACATTTTGTGTCAACATACCAGCAATTTAGCAGATTTTAATACTTTAAGGCATACTTGATCACAACTGCCTGGCCAAAACTATGCTAAAAAATGAAATAGAGGAAAACAGACGACCATTCAAAACAGCTAAAATACGATCGGCGCAATCGTACCCCAAATGTTAAAATACGTATCTGAGGAATAGAACGGGTTCCCAGTGTTTGACGCGCGGCGCAGTTTCAACAATGAAGTCAGTCTGGGGTGTAGTCTGTCATACAGACCCTGAAGCAAATATATCCAAGAAAGCCCACGAAAGTCTAGAAAATGTGGCAAGTCTATATTTCAACAGCTGCAGAATGAAGAAAGTCTCGGTGCTCCTTTTCATTATATTTTATTTTTTTTACTATGAGCTTTTTTCCCTGTAAAATATGTTCATTTCAGAGACTAGTTGTTAGTCTATCTGGGGTGTTATTCGCCACAGCTTGGAGATTGTTAAGACTATTGGGATTAACAGGGGTCATCTCACATATCATACAACTGATTGGTGAACATCTTACAAAATATCAGCACACAGCCCACTGCTGAACTATACAAACAATCACTGTACTGATGACCCTGGAAATTGGTCTTCGGTAGCCCATGCTCTGGTGGTCAGGCTCGAGGACTTGATCGACACATGTCATCAAATCCCAAGCACTGGAATGTCCGGGAATATGTCAAACAGGTTCTGAGTTGAGTTGAGGTGGGCTTTACGTCACATCGGCATTATTCCAGTCATATAGTGACGAGAACAAGTTTGCATTAATAAACATTCTAAGTACAGAGTCGGAATGAGGTTTATTTCAAAAACATATATTCATTACATTGTCATTTAAAAACAGAAAAAGTCATAGCACCAAATTTAAAAGCAGGCAATTGGTTAGTCACATTACACAGTTATAATTTATGATACAGATCAACTTCCCTCAGGTAGTTCACTATCAGATGAGCGCTCACGCGGGAGAACAGATCTTTCAGATTTGTTGCATCATAATGTGATTCCCTTGCAGTCCACACATTCAAGCAGAATATGCTTGATGGTGAAAACCTCATCGCAAGAGACACACATGGGGGGTCCATCCCCATCCGTCTTCAGCAGATAGTCATGTGTAAACCGACTGTGGCCAATACGACATCGTCGTAAACTTACCTCATCACGTCTTGACTGACAACCCAAGTAGGTATAACCAATTGTTGGCTTCATTTCATACAGTGTATTTCTTCCTACTTGAGTGTCCCACCTTTTTTGCATGAGGTCCCGAGTATAGCTTTTGAAGGTGGGTTTGAAATCACTGTACGGGATCAGCAGTGGAGATAAGGGCTTGTCAAGGGCTGCTTTAGCTGCAGCATCGGCTTTTGTTTTACCTGCTATGCCGACGTGACCCGGCAACCAGCAGAGGACGATGTCACATTGGCCAGTAGAAAGGTCGTTGTAAAGTTCTAAAATGTCCAGAATGATTGGGTGACTTGAAGTAACATTTTGAAGTGCTTGAAGGCAAGATCTGTTAAAACGATGAAGTTTTTGGAGTGATTCTGCTGTTGAATGTAGGTCAAAGCTGAGAAGATAGCTTTGGCCTCGGCAGTGAAAATGGAACTGTTGTCGGGGATCCTAGAGGAGACCGTCTTGGATCCAATGACTGTAGCACTGGCAAGTTGGCCCTCATCCTTGGATCCGTCTGTGAAAATGGATCTATGGGTGTCATACTTGGAACGTAACTGGTTGTATTCCTGCTGGAACACGAAAGGATTTGTTTCGGACTTTTTGTGTTTAGTAAGGGTAAGATCGACCTGTGGTTTCACAGAAGGCGGTAAGGTGCTATGACATTGAGATTAATTTTAGCTGCAGATATGTGTGGTTGAATTCTGATGCCAAGTGGTGGAACCAGGCTTGGCAGTTTAGGAAAAAGGTTTTCATAGAGAGGTTTGAAAATTGTATGCTGGATTAGACAGATTTGAACGTAATTTAGTGATATATTGCAGTGCCAGTTTAATGCGGCGTTGTTCAAGGGAAGGTTCGTTAGCCTCTGCATATAGACTGTCTAAAGGAGAGGTCCTAAAAGCTCACAGGCAGAGCCTCAGGCCTTGGTGTGGATAGAATCTAATTTTTCTAAATTGCTTTTGCAGGCTCCACCATAAACAATGGAGCCGTAGTCTAGTTGAGAGCGAACCAAAGATCTGTACAAGTGAAGGAGAGTAGTCTGATCCCCTTCCCACTCTGCATTTGAAACGACTTTTAGTAAGTCCAGAGCCTTCAAGCACTTGGCTTTCAAATATTTTATGTGTGGTAAGAATGTCAGGTGACGGTCGATTATGAGTCCCAGGAATTTGGCCTGTTCTACTACTTTGATGGGAGTACCATCTAAAGATAGGTCTGGATCCTTGTGTGGTTTGTATTTACGACAAAAGTGAATACAATTTGTTTTGGATTTTGAAAACTTAAAGCCATTTTCATTGGCCCATTTTTGGATTTTGTTAAGACAGAGTTGTAGCTGCCTTTCTATGGCGTGCATGTTTTTACCACGACATGAAATATTGAAATCGTCCACGAAAAGGGACCCATCAACACAACTGTTCAAGACGTTAGTGAGGCTGTTAATTTTGGTGCTAAAAAAGGGGACAGACAGGATGCTGCCTTGAGGGACGCCCTAATCTTGGTGGAAATAATCAGACAATGTGGAACCTACCCGTACTTGAAATTGTCTGTTGTTTAAAAACTGAGATATGAACTGAGGTAATCTGCCCCTCAATCCAAATTCATGTAAATATTTTAAGATACCATGTTTCCAAGTTGTATCGTATGCCTTATCTAAATCGAAAACTGACTGACTGACTGAGTTTAGTTTTACGCCGCTTTTAGCAATATTCCAGCAATATCACGGCGGGGGACACCAGAAATGGGCTTAACACATTGTGCCCATGTGGGGAATCGAACCCGGGCCTTCGGCGTGACGAGCCAACGCTTTAACCACTAGGCTACCCCACCGCCCCTAAATCGAAAAAGATAGATACTGTATGCTGTTTGTTGATAATGAAATTCTTAATAAAAGTTTCCAGACGCACCAGATGGTCAATGGTACTAAGTAGTAAGAATAGTTGGGAAATGGTCACTTCCACAAAGGTCATCGTGGACCGACCATTCAAACTCGTCAAGATCGGTCTGACAAGAGATAGTTGTAGTAGTGATAGAAGGACGGGAGACAGCAGAAGAGTAGGTGATGGTTGAAGGGGCTACAGTTACACTTGCAACCCCCCTTCTTAGCTTCATGAAAAGAGACATTTTCTTTGTGCTTGATCTTTATGATCTAGGATTCGCGTTGCCACACGGGACAAGATTTGGAGGAAGCCATATGGTTACCACCGCAGATTGGACACTTCACTTCCTTAGTACAGTCATTGCTCTCATGCTTGTCACCACAGCGGTAACAAACAGCAGAAGAACGACAGGACTTGGATCCATGTCCAAACTTTTGGCAGTTGTAGCACCGGAGTGGATTAGGTACATACAGCTCCACACCAATGCTGCAATAGCCGGTTCTAATAGTTTCGGGAATCTTCGATCGGGCGAACGTAAAGAGGTAGGTGTTTGTGGGTTGAACCACACCGTCCTTCTTGATAGTGAATCTCTTCACAGCTGTGACAGACTGCTGGGAAAGTTCCTGGACAATTTGTTCTTCAGTCATGTCAGACAGGCACCGAGCTCTGTCCTGTACAATGCCTCTATACGTGTTCAGTGTTTTTTGCGCTGAGACGGCAACCTTTACATTGACAAACTCTTGTAATTTCAGTAGTTTTAGGGATTGCTGTCTCCGAGCATATTCTACTAGTAGAGAACCGGACCGGAGCTTTGTGACATTGGCAACCTATCCGCAGATACCAGCTATACCCTTGGAGACTGCAAATGGGTTCAATTGCAAAGGTTGTAATGGTGGCCAGTAATCGGGTCGAATGGGCGTACTCTCGTCAGACGGGGGATATGTCAGAGTCCATATGTCTTCGTTTTGAACCGGGGTATTGGGAAGCCATGTCGTAAGGAATGTGGTTCGGCATCCCCTCTCTCCACCAACCACGGAGTGTCAACAAGGACGATCTTATATTGCAGCGGATCTCCAAGCTGCAAAGACCGGGGATAAGGGGGTGTTATACTCCAGCGAATTTGACATGAAATGCTGTAGCTGTCTACCTGATCAAAGGTCAGGATGGTTCGGTCCATGACAATCGATTGGAGACGAACAGAAATCGGGGGTCAGCATCAGCAGATTGGCCCATGAGCCACCGCCTTCTGTGCATGGGTCTGCTAGGCTAATTTGTTTTGGTAGAATATCAGTTAACATTTTGAACATGGCCAAAAGTGTTATGTAATACCAAATTTTGTATAAACATTACATGCACAGGACAAGGCGTGACCAGCCGATTGGTAGAATCGGGCCTATTCTACCACCCGTCTAGGCAAAGTTAGGGTCGAAGTGGTGTGTTGGATTATTGAACAATATTGCCGGTTCCGTCATCCTCAACCACCAGACTCCTTCCTCTGCCGACACAGGGACGCAACCCACGGCAAACGGGTTGCCCAATTTGGTCGCCTCTTACAACCAGCAATGGGGTGCTGTGGACCTATTCGACCCCGGGTCCACACGGGGGCGAAGATCCATTGGCGTTACCCAGCACCCTCCACGAGGAGGTTGCTCTTCAAGGGTGCCTTAACAGGTTCTGAATCCCCAATACTATGAAATGAAACACAAGTGGGATGTTACTTTTCCCCTTGTTTCGAGGAGGCGAATAGCTGAAATTTTGCTGACTGTTTCAATCACTCATCCACCCACCCACCCACTCACTCACCCACTCACTCACTCACTCATCGTGTATGACTATAATGAGTAAGGTCTTTTTTTTTCAGACCAATGTATGATCAGCTGAACAAGAAACACGTGATACTCCTGTGTATGGTTGTCACACTACCTGTAAGTGTCGGTAAGTACACACACACACACACACACACACACACACACACACACACACACACACACACACACACACACACACACACACACACACACACACTGCACTAAGTTGCCTTTTGAAACCGATATGTTCACTTACAACGGAAGCGATATAACGTTGCTGAGAGAAAAATAGAGATTGACAGACTTTTAATGTATTATTTGTTATAAACAAAGTTATTTGGAGGCATTGTGCATATAGCATCGCACATCAAATACACAAGTGAGATGTCAACAGGGCGTAGTAAATCTCACGGTTAATGTAATAACGCTAACGCATGACGGAGATGCGATGTTGTTAATGTAGTACAGATGGGCAGAAGGGGACACCGTGGTTGTGGGTGGGTAAAGACCGATTGATGTTGGACTCACTGACTGACTCACAGACTGACTGACTCACGCACGCGTCCATTCGCCCATGTTTTGGGCTCCTCACAATGTTTAACGACGTTTCATATAACTTGGTGTCACGATAGTTTTCTGTAAACCTTTTCACTTTGTGATTCTTTCTTCAATATTCAGCTACAGCTTCAGAAAACACACGACCAATACATTCAAATTGATGAATAAACATTGAAGTTGATTTCATCTTTGTTTCGTATGTACTGTTCACTTCAAAGAAGACCCGTGAAGGTGCCGGGTTAGAATTGGTCTTCAGTAACCCATGCTTGTCGTAAGAGGCGACTAACGGGATCGGGTGGTCAGGCTCGCTGACTTGGTTGACACATTTCATCGGTTCCCAATTGCGCAGATCGATGCTCATGATGTTGATCACTGGATTGTCTGGTCCAGGCTCGATTATTTACAGACCGCCGCCATATAGCTGGAATATTGCTGAGTGCGGCGTAAAACTAAACTTAACTTTTCTGGTATGAAAAAATGCTTATACTCGAATCTTGCAAAGATTTCAATGACGTCATGACCTAAGGCGACTGTTTCTCTTCTTCGGGACGAGGTAAAGTTCAATAAAACATATTTTCAACTTTCACTGAAAACACAATATAAGTTATCCTTATTGACAGCATCCACGGATGTATTCTTCCAGGTAAGCAGGTTTGTACCTTTTCCGAGCTGGCAGATTCAGCCGGTAGACATGATGACTACAGTGGTTACAGAACTGTTGCGAATCCTGACAACTGTAAGGAGTTCTGCCGAGGGTACGATTGGTGCGTTGCAGCAGAGTTCGACTTCAACACCTACGACTGTTTTCTGTACAGAGGAGTCACACAGACCTCGCACAAGGAAGGAAGGGTATATATGGCACAGCGATGCACTGAAGGTAACGTTCAGTGTGTAAACTTGGTCTAGTGCAAAGTCACTCTCTTGTTAGAGGTTTGGTTATGTCTAATTATATGTGACACTGTGCTCAATATCATTCTTAACATTTGCTCAACATAATGACTTTTCCTTTTAGACCCGTGAAGGTCCGGGTTAGAATATTGGCCTTCAGTAACCTTCAGTCGCTTGTCGTAAGAGGCGACTAACGGGATCAGGTGGTCAGGCTCGCTGACTTGGTTGACACAGGTCATTGGTTTCCAGTTGAGTAGATCGATGCTCATGCTGTTGATCAGTGGATTGTCTGGGCCAGACTCGATTATTTACAGACCGCCGCCATGTAGCTGGGATATTGCGGAGTTCGGCGTAAAACTAAACTCACTCACTCACTCTGATTATCAGTGGCAACTACTAAACGAAAATCCTTGGCCTGATGCAAATTTACTCTTTGTTGGAGTTACACTTCCTTTGATGCTGTGTTGAATATCTTTCTTAAGAACGTATTTTCTTTCGGATCGTAAATCTATAAATATTATTGGATTGTATATCAAATATGAAGCTTCTCATATTCAGTGACAACTACTCAGCCAACGACAACGACTGCTACCTCTACCGGCACAACTGCTGTTCCCACATCCACGTATATATCACCATCAACATTCTACACCACACTAACAACAGTAGGCCTATCTACGGCAATGACTACAACTATAGAACCAAGCCGAACTGACGACAGACCTACAACGGGGCTACCTGTACCCAAATCAGTGTTTACAAAAGGTTCGTCTTCAAGCGTCAATTGTTGATACGTTAGCTTCTAAGGACAAAGGGTAGTCTAGTGGTTAAAGCGTTGGCTCGTCGCGCCGAAGACCCGGGTTGAATCCTCACATGGGTACAATGTGTGAAGCCCATTTCTGGTGTCCCCCGCCGTGATATTGCTGGAATATTGCTAAAAGCGGCCTAAAACCAAACTCAGTCAGTCAGTCAGTTCTAAGGAGAAGAGTGAGCTTATAAATCGGCCATAAATACAACGACAAAACGCGTTCCACATTACACGAGTTTGGGGATTACGATATTTGAGGAAAGTACAGATTCTAGCACTTTGTGGGGTGAAAGTCTCTCCGTGATTCAACCCTGCATTCTCAGGCAAGTGATCGCCAGCACACAAAGTTAGCGACCTAACGAGCGCAGCTTCTACCAAAAACGGAACACACACAGTTGTTGTCTTTATCTAATATGTTTTATCATACCTCACGTAAAATGTCTATCTTTGATTGGTTCACGTGACCTTGAACAAATTACCATGTATGTCCGGTGCACGGCCGTACACTGCCCAAGCGGGGTATAAGTCTTTAAGAGGGAGAATCAATCATTTATACCAATTAAACATGCATCCACGGCAACCATTGGTTCGGATCGACAAGTCGGTACGATGTCAGTAAAAGATATGATTGGATTTCAGTTTGTTATATTTACATAATGAGAGATTTAAACATTCTGTAAGATAACTACGTTGTAACATTATGATTCGGGTATACGGGGTTTTATGCGTCCCTCGTTAGGTTTATAAAATATCCCTCATCACAATGCTACAACTTATAGTGTACCCCTTTGACAAGTGTAAATAAGCACAGCTCAGGCATTATGTATTCATACATTTCCAATACAATTCCCGATCTGGACTTGTACTTTGCGCCTTTTTTCAATGAACATTTTGACCTTCTTTTCCTTGTGTATGAACTAGAATCTGAAAATTTAACTTCTGATACATTTGGCCACTTTCTGAAAAATAGGCAGTGTGAAATGTGGAAACCTAAAATAGGTTAATATTGGTCGACGTGACGCTATACTTTTAAGATTATCACAACGGATTGAGTTTTCCAGTCACACTTATTGTATATTATAGATTACAGTTTGAATACCTAGTGTACTACAAATTCACTTACTGGAGCTTCCGTTATGCTTATTTTGAAACTGTATTAAATATCATTAAATAACATTATTTACAACATAACATATTTTCAGTGTCGACTACTCAGTCAGCAGCAACAGCAACAACAACATCTTCCAACACGACCACTACTGTTCCTATGACCACGGATAAACCACCATTACCATTCTACACCACAACAGCAGGCTCATCTACAACAACAACTACAACTAAAGAACCAAGCCGAATTGACGACAGACATACAACAGTGCGTCTTTTACTGGAACCAGAAGGTTCGTCTTCAAGTGTCATTTGTTGGTATGTCATCTTCTAAGGATAAGAACCCGTGAAATTCCGGGTTGGAATCGGTCGTCAGTAACCCATGCTTGTCGTAAGAAGCGACTAACAGGATCGGGTGGTCAGACTCGCTGACGTGTTGACACATGCCATGGTATCCTAATTGCCTAAAATGATGCCCATGATGTTGATCACTGGATTGTCTGGTCCACACTAAATTATGTACAGACCGCCGCCATATAGCTGGACTATTGCTGAATGCGGCGTTGAATAACCAACCAACCAACCAACCAACCAACCAAACAAAAATCCTGGAGTGCAAACTGTAAAATATCCCATGTTTTTCCAATTAGTCTTCCATTGGGTGCCTGGCGACGTGATTAGCCTTGGAATGTACTACTAGAATACACATGTCTTATTATAGTAAATGTCTAACAACCCATTGAATCAATAATTTGATGACTTCAAATTTTACTTATTTTCTGAAAATTTAATCTTCAGCATGTTGTTGCCAGCATCAAATAAATGCACAGTTTGGGGTCAGGGGAGTAGGGAGAGGGAGAGAAAGGGAAAGTCAGTTTTGTGATGTTTCATGGAATGTACTTGAATACCGCTTTGCTTTGCATCGAAAGGGGTCACACCATTTATGGTCTTCTTTGAAACGCCTTTATGGTAAACATTTGGACAACCCTTCCAAATTTGATGCGTCAGTGACAAAACCGATGTCCGATACAATTCTCAATAGGGCCGTGCACTATATGTTTTTCCATGTAAACAATTGACCTTCATGGCCATGCATTTGTTCATTTAATGTCTTTTCATGGTGCCATCACTATTTGATAGTTATATATAAACACAAGCTCATGATACACTCGGAATTGTACAATCAATTCTGTTTGAAGGGAGAACGTATCCGAATCTGTCAGGAATTTAGTATGCCAGTCTGAAAAACAGGTTACATATCCTCTGAGAATTCAGTATGACAGATAGATGTGGGAAGGTTCACCAATAAGATGCTTCTTTCATCCCAATTGTAGGTATATGCTAGATAGTATGCATAGCATTATTGAGAAAGTACGAGTATACGTGAGGATTTATGGCTGGCTGAGTTTGTGTGTACGCTCGGGTGAAACAAGGATGAAATAACCCATCAGTTTGTTCGAATAGTGGGACTGGCGCTGTGGCAGTTTCATTGTTTTTTCTGCTTAATCAGGGCCGTGTTTTTTCAGATGCTGTGAAGCTAACTGATACAACTAAACCTGGAATGAAAGGTGAAACTACCATTGCCCAGGACACCACCCTTGTCACAAGTCCGCTACCCAAGACAACGACCACATCTCCAAGTTCAACTACAACTACCACCGCCACCACAACTACCACCGCCACAACAACTACCACTAAAACCACTATTGCTAAATCTTCAACAGGAACACCAACAAGCTCAGCTACTGAAAATTCTGTGGAATTGGAAACGACGGATTCGTCAGTGCCTTGGTCATGCCCTCTTTCAAATTCCCAAATACAAGCGCCTTTAACATTTAGAAGAAAACGGCAAAGGCTATGTTTTAACAGACAAAAATTTCCTAGATTGAGCATACCTGAAGATAATCCAACTTGTCTCCTTGTTCCTTCTAATGACACGGGAAAGTTTGTCATCGTAGTTGTTCCTCCACGGCCTAAACAGGTCATATGTGTCCCTGTTAGTTACTGTGGTAGGATCCCAATTCTTCATCTTCCCGAACCAACTTCCCTGGTTCAATGTAGCCCATACAATCCGCAACAACAGCTGCCTTATCAGTTCCCCATACAAAGAGGTCCCCAATTTCCCTCTCAGAAAGGTAACCAGAATACGTTCCTTCCAGTAGCAACAGTTACGGTAACTGATGACATTCCGGATGGGACAATGGCCCTCCTAGATCTATTGACCAATGTAAAGTTATATGGTCACAGTGGTCATAGAAAGGTCAGTCAAATGTATGTCCGTAAAAGTATGATATTGGACAGGTCTGTAGATAACTCTTCAGTTTCTTCAACAGCTATTGACAAAGATGCAAATATGCCCAAAGAGTTGACAGATTCGAACAAATCAAACATACCTTTGAATGACATTAACCTTATTCCGGGTCTCGATACAGTATCGGTATCAAAAAACACTCTCGACGGTAACTTGACATTATCTCGACCAGTGAGAAGGAAGCTACGAGATCTTAGTAACGGCCAGACTATTCCAAAAATGAACAGCACAGTTCTTTTGACCATGCTATTAAGAACCAACACAACCCAGCGTAACTTGACATTTTCGAGGTCAGTTGCAGTTCAAACGACCACACTGGCGACTGTAACGGAGTCAAATCCACCACGCCGTGTACGTCCTCCGAGATACGGTCGTATTCGACCAATGAGAAAGAAGCCCCATCGCAATCGTTCAAAGAAAAATCCCAAAAGCAAACCAAAGAGAAAGCGGAGACCACGCCCAACTCCCGATCCACTGGCGAAGTATAAGGGCAAACATCCAATGCGATATGCACGTCATCGATATTGGAGACGAAGGAAAAATCCCAGAGCAATCCGTCACCCGTCCTCAGTTGGTCGCAAATATAGATCCAGACGCCTACGTTCCCGGAAGTCACGTGAAAGAAGGTTGAGATCTCGCAGACGTAAATATACCGTGCAGAATCGGTTTCAGGGAAGATGACTAATCCTTTAATGAATAATAGTTGAGTTTTTTATGTAATGTTTAAACACATTACTGGCCGTGAAATATACCATAAACTGAAATAAAATAATCATTTCTGAAACCAAGTGTGAAAGAAGAGAGATCTTATTTGCAAACATATACATCTGTCCCACCTACTATCTCCCGTAACGAACACCGTCTGGTTAGGACGTCATTTGAACTTCAGAGATTATAACACCAAATGCCCTATTTGCAGATTTAGCTATTTCTTTAAATGTACACCTAGGTGTTAATAAGAAGGAGTACTTGATCAGAACAAATTGTAAAATCAAAATACGACCTTTTAATAAATTACGACGGTAATGCATTCCGTTCTAGATTTTGGCTGCACAATCTTACATTCGATGTAAGGCTTGCTCATCAGATGCTACAAAGGTAGCATCAATAGCATGTATTTGGGTACACAGCATATCAATGCTTAAGTGGATTTCACAAGAGAACAGAATTCCCGTCACATGACGTGGGTCTATAAATAACCGACCAGGCAGACCATCCAGTGGTCGGCTCACGCCGTCGTGGTACGGGTTCACGTCTTTGCTGTAACTCAGCAGCACAGAGATAGTGCAGACAAACTAACGTTTCCACTCGTTATCACGATTATAACGCTGCAGTGGATTTATATCAAATTCGACACCAAATCAGAAATATCGCACCTGTTTCACAATGGTCTACAAGTACACGAATCTGGGTCTGCCCATCATAAGTCTTTGTTATTGTTAGAGAATGAAATTCCATTCCATTCTTCCTGCATGACAGGGCCAAATTCGTTGAGACTGGTCGGATTTGGTTGGCGATGTCGTACGCAATTCAGTCACCAATACGTGCCGTAGGTGTCGTCCAAGGATATTCTCTCGTTTATATCGTGCGGTGTGGTATATGATAGCAAGTCTAGGCCCGACTGGCTGCTGCAGAACAGGAACTAGGCGTGTTTATTTATTAGCGTCTCAGTTAGTGCTTTGTGAGCGAGCGATATCAACATTAGAGGCTAAATGGCTATCAAGGTAAGGTTCTGTGCACGGTTCCGCAATGATTGGTTTCCTTGCACTATATACTTCATCGCTCATCAACATAACGCTTGTTTATCTTATATACTTTGCTTGTGATCAACGACGAACCACAGTGTAAATGACCTCAGTGTGTACACATGTCTGTGACTGCTTTCTCAGACGCATATACATAACCTTGTTGAGGATTGCCATAGTGTATACATACGGAGCCGGGCGGTGGTGTTATCAGAGTGTGTTATAAGAATGTGTTATGTGTCGAAGATACGTAACCACGCTGTTGATGTTCTTACTGTACGTCGGCGGTGGGGTAGCGTAGTGGTCCAAGTGTTCGCTCGTCACGCCGAAGACCCAGGTTCGATTTCCCACAGGGGTAGAATGTGTGAAGCCCATTTCTGTTGTCCCGAGCCGTGATATTTGCTGGAATATTGCGTAAAGCGGCGTGAAACTTAACACTCTTTCACATACGGAACATGTACATTGTTACTATCAAAATCTCTACCTGACGGAACTTCCCATGCAATTGAGCTTTGCATGCGATTTCTGCGATTAGACCGTCGTTTTACAAAGCGAAACAAAATCTCCCCTATCGATAGACTTAATGTTACACCCAGTCATTACCGGTAATTAATGCACTGACACCCTTTTGAGTGTGAAATCCTTTGATGTATAATAACCTGTTAAAATATGCCGTGAAGATCCGGGTTAGAATTGATCTCCAGTAACCCATGCTTGTCGTCTGAGGCGAATAATGGGACACTGTAATTAATGTGACACTGTTTTCAATATCATCCTTAAAATTTGCTGAACAAAATGACTTTTACTTTTAGACCCGTGAAGGTCCGGGTTGTCGTCAGAGGCGACTAACGGGATCGGGTGGTCAGGCTCGCTGACTTGGTTGACACATGACATCGTATCCCAAATGCGTCGATCGATGCTCATGATGTTGATCACTGGAATGTCTGGTCACGACTCGATTATTTACAAAATAGCTTGAATGCTGAGTGGGGCGTAAAACTAAACTCACTCACTCACTAACATATGACAAAGGGGTGAGGATACACTTACCATTCCGCGAACAGATGGTATCATCACTATGTGATAGAGATTCACAAACACATGCCAGTGCACATCAGAATAGTCCAATCGATTTGCTATTTGAGGACATTACTTATGAAAATATGCCAAGGGTACTGTCTCTGCTGAATGGATTAATCCCATTCACCACTTACATTCATTCATGGGGTAGCCTAGTGGTTAAAGCGTTCGCTCGTCACGCCGTAGACCCGAGTTCGATTCCCTACATGGGTATAACGTGTGCAGACCATTTCTGGTCTCCATGATATTGTGGGAAGATTGATAAAAGCGGCGCAAAACCATACTCATCCATCTATCTTATAAGAATATTCTCCCAAAACTTTCAAAGCTAAATTTAAACGTACTAGATTTTTAAAACGTAGTATTTTTGTTCTTTTAAAGTTGGCTAAATATTTCCTACAATCGCGAGCAGCTGAAAGGATGGTGTAAATCCAACTAGGGTCCATGCAGGTAGCAAAGGTACTGTAAGTCCCCATGGACCCTAGTATGGTGATCTACCTTCAGTTGTTGGCGATGTATAGCCTGTTTTATATTGTATCGTCCTCTATAGTTAAAGTATTTTATATTCATTACTAGTTTTAAATATATAGTCTAGTTGGTTTTACTGTCCTTTGTCGACAGATATCTTATACTGATTACCTCGCTATATAGCTGTAATATTGCCCATGCGATGTAAAATTTTAACTCACTCACTTATATGAATATTCAAGATTCATATGAATTCTAGCAAATCTCATTGCTAAGAACAGATAAGGATATTGTCAATAAACTTGTTATTTCCTGAAGTGATTCTTAAAACTAGAAAGGTAACATTCCATTTAGACAATATACAATGTATATACAGTGGAAGCCCTCTAAACCGGCATTAGTTGGTACCGGCATAACATGCTGGTATAGAGAACTTTTCCCTTTTCAACTTGTAGTGGGAATTAGTGGTGGTCCGATTAATTGAAATAATCGAAGATTGGCCGCAGTGACTAAACGACCAAGCAATCGAACATGTTTTCTCGTAATCGAACACGACCAATCTTGGAACACTTGTTTGCATTAACAATATTTTTCACAAGGCTGGTTCTGTCTGTGTCATTAAATTTACATTTAGGACTGAATTTATCTTAAAGAATCCAGGAAATATGTGTTCCTAACATACTAATCATCATTTAAATATGCGAAATTTGCAAATGGACTTTAAGCAATTTGCAAACAACAAACAAATTACTACATGTTTTTTCTTTATTTTTTGTGTGTGCATTAACAAAAATAACAGGGACATTAAAATAAATGACGCTAACCAATTATTTTCGATGATTGATCGGTTGTAATGGACCAATCATCAATTATTAGATTTGAACCAATTCCCAACACTAGTGGGAATGTAATGGAAGTTACATTTATGAGATGGATACTGTTTGTCTTCCAGTCTTAGACCAATTCATGACCGATCCATCATGAACCGGAACCTGTTTCTTTGGCTGCTGTGTGCGACTGCAGCAATATGCAGGGGTAAGAAATGTCTTACGACATAGCTTGGTTGTCATGTTACCATTTGTCTTTAAGAAGGGCAACTTGAGAGTATAACCAGTCTCTGTTATCCGTATACCAAGCAAAGGGGCCAAACATGAGATATTCCATCAGTATGATCCGTTTGGCTCAAAAGCGGACCGATGAATTGCAATCTAACTCGAACACTAATAGACATATAATACCAACTCGACCAACTCTGTGAGTTCTTTGCAGAATTTATTTCCTTAAAATAAAAAAAGTTGTTTAACAAACTATTATTAAAATATTTAGACAGTTCACTATTTGTTACAAGGGAGTAGTGCAAAGAGGGGAACAGCCAGGTGTGCGTGAAAGGATGGAGACAGCACAGCACAAGTAAAAGAATCAGTAACTTTGTCGGCACTTGCGCCCATGCATCGCGTTCACCTGGCTGTTCCTCTCTGTGTACTCCTCCCTCGTAACAATAGTGAACTGTGTCCAAATTTTAATGATAGTTTGTTAAACAACTTTTATATTTTCAGGACATAAAATCTGCCAAAAACTCACAGAGTTGGTCTGATGTTTCGGTTATGATCAGCGTTTCATTGAGAATTATATGTTTTGTAGTTTTCGAGTAAGATTGCAATTCATCGGTCTGCTTTTGAGCCAAACGGACCATAGCAGCCGCCACAATTAACGTTACTGAATAACTGTAACCATGTGAAGTTTGTCACTTAGGTTTTACCGTCGGTTTATGACACGGGTACACTTTATTTTACCTAAGATTCTGATTTCATTTGAGTAATGTATAATGTTAGGATTTAATGAACCAAAGTAGTACGTGTCTAGATCGCACGTCCGCACTAGCGCATGTGAAAATATCCATGAACGACAATTTCCTGGAATGTAAATTGCCGAATGTGCGATCGGGCGTAAAATAAATATGGAGGATACATTGAATGACCCATAACCAAAGTCTTATGAATTTTTATTGTCTGAATAGATTCGATACAAAAGAGGTGAAATATAGTCTGCTACTATCTTTTGTGGTAGAATTGGAATGTTGGAAACTTTTCCTTGTCGCCAACACTACTACTTCGCTGTTTCAATTCTCTCGTGGATGCAGATGATGTCTACCCCCTTTCTCCACGGGTTCTGCAGAAGAAGCCCATCAATTCTTTTCCAAGGATAATTTATATGACTTCGAGAAAAATCTTCCGCCCTATTGCTTGTCTGAATACGCAAGGAAGCGGTGGGGTAGCCGAGTGGTTAAAGCGTTCGCTCGTCATGCCGTAGACCCGGGTTTGATTCCCCAAATGGGTACAATGTGTAAAACCCATAACTGGTGTCCCCGCCGTGATATTGCTGGAATATTGCTACAGGCGGTGTAAAACCATACTCGCAATCGCAATTGCACTGAATACACAACAAAATACTGAATACACAACAAAATACTGAATACACAATCCCAATTCACAAAACCAAAAGCATCACCCCACCCCTGAATCATATTATTTATTCCACAGTCCATTCGCCAGTACATGTTCGAAACATAGTCAAATTAGAATTGCGTAACAAATTATAATACTTAAAAATTAAATTAATGTATGTTCTTTAATATGCGTTTTAGTGGCACTTACCTTTATATTCCATCAGGTAAGCAAGTTTCCACCTTTTCCGAGATGCCTGATTCAGCCGGTAGTCACGATGACTACAGTGGTTACAGAACTGCTGCGAATCCTGACAACTGTAAGGAGTTCTGCCGAGCATACGATTGGTGCGTTGCAGCAGAGTTCGACTTCAACACCTACGGTTGTTTTCTGTACAACGGAGTCACACAGATCTCGCGCAAGAAAGGAAGCGTATTCATGAAACAGCGATACACTGAAGGTAAACGGTAATCCTTGGCCTGATGCAAATTTACTCTTTGTTGGAGTTATACTTACTTTGATGCTGTGTTGAATATCTTCTAAAGAACGTAATTTCTTTAGGATCGTAAATCTATAATCGTGTAGCACATATAAAGCTTCTGATACTTTTTGCTGGAGTTTTGCTTACTTTGATGTTGTGTTGAATATCTTTCTTAAGAACGCAATTTCTTTGAGACCACATTTAGAATGCATAGTAAATATACAGCTTCTGATTTACAGTGACAACTACTCAGCCAACGACAACGACAGCTACCTTTTCCAGCACAACTGCTATCCCCATGACCACGGATAAATCACCATCAACATTCTACACTACACTGACAACAGCAGACGCACCTACAGCAACGACTACAACTAAAGGACCAAGCCGAACTGACGAAAGACATACAACAGGGCTACTATTACCGAAATCAACGTTCATTGAAGGTTCGTCTGCATGTGCAATTTGTTGATATGTAACGGGAGGTGAGGAGAAATTGGGTTTAACGTCATGCTTGAGAAAATTTCGCTCATTTGACGGCGTGCATGTGTGTGCATGTGTATGTGCATGTGCATGTGCGGCTGCTTGTACTAGCACAGACTGAAGCTGGTTTTATAGTGCTAGCCCACTGAGATACCATGCCGCAGTGAAACATGAATACCCCACTCAGACACATTGTACTGACTCCGAGCCGACCAGTCCGTGTTGTACCCATTAATGCCGAGCGCCAGGCAGGGACCAACAAGTACCATATTTTAACGACTTTTGGTATGACGCGATCGGGGATCGAACCCGCGACCTTCCGCTCTCCTGGCGGACGCTCTAACCACAACACCAAGGAGCCGGTCTTGTTGATATGTAAGCTTTTAAGGAGAAGAGTAAGTTTATATAATCGTACATCGACAAAACCTTGTCAATATTAACTAAACCCTGATGGAAGGAGAGTAGATTGTACAGATCCGACTTCATCGTGTGTATGAGGAACGAACAACGATGACTGCAGGTCTTCTCGAAAAGTCAAACATATCCTGCTCCATCAGTGGCACTTGTTACAAAGACATGGATATTAAGGTGAGTTGTTCTAATGAAAAAGTAATATTATAGAACAGGCTCAAAACGGGAACTGCATCAGATATCCTTTTGTCATTGATGCTCAATTTGTGTAATTTTCTAAAAGTCTCCCATAACAGGTTTTCGTTGCAGTACTGAGCTGATTTTATACAGATAATATTTTGCTTACTGCCAAACTATAGGTAGGAACTCTTACAATGCTCATTGTGCCCCTGCCTCAGTTACAAGGGTCTAAAGATCCGTTTGCTCGTTCAAATAGTGGGACTGGTGTCGTGACAGTATAAGTCACGGTACCCATTGTACTTTCCCGCACAGATACAAATGTAAAGCCAAATGTGTCATTGGGTGTAATATTGCTTTGGAATGAGGATGCATTTAATGGCCCATAACCAAAATCTTATCAACTCTTACTGTCTGAATAGATTCGATACAAAATAGGTGACATGTAGTCTACTGATACCCTTTGTGGTAATTTGGAAACTATCCCTTGTCTCCAAGCACTGCTGCCTCACTGTTTCAATTTTCTCGTGGATGCAGGGGACGTTCCCCTGGGTTCTACAGAAATATCAATGATTTTCCAAAGAAAGGTAATTTGACTGATAGAAAAACGCTTCCGCCCTATTACTTGTCTGAATACACAACAAAAATATTTACTGGGCGTCTTACAGATCTTGTGTTATCCCACTGCACTTCTAATGATATATAGTCCTAAAAAAAGTAGGAGAACTCCATTTTTCATTAACGATTGAATAAAATGGGAGATATATCGGAGTCAATCAATGTTGCTATGATAATAATGAATGTTTTGAGAGTGCATCACCACTTGCACTTCCTTATGACCATAGTTATTTGCAAAGTAATCGCTCTTGGAAGATGATTGGCGTATGACGTGAAAATTGCATGTGTACGATTTTCATTTTTCATCGGAATTGATTAAAGAATTATATTATCTATGAATAAATATTAACCTATGTCTTTTTATGCTTTAACGGCACTTACTTTTATATTCATTCAGGTAAGCAAGTTTCCACCTTTTCCGAGATGCCTGATTCAGCCGGTAGTCGTGAAGATTACGATGGTTACAAAACTGTTGCGAATCCTGACAACTGTAAGGAATTCTGCCGGGCCTACGGTTGGTGCGTTGCAGCAGAGTTCGACTTCAACACCTACGGCTGTTTTCTGTACAACGGAGACACACAGATCTCGCGCAAGAAAGGAAGCGTATTCATGAAACAGCAATACACTAAAGGTAAACGGTAATCCTTGGCCTGATGCAAATTTACTCTTTGTTGGAGTTATACTTACTTTGATGCTGTGTTGAATATCCTTCTAAAGAACGTAATTTCTTTAGGATCGTAAATCTATAATCGTGTAGCACATATAAAGCTTCTGATATTCAGTGACAACTACTCAGCCAGCGACAACGACAGCTACCTCTTCCAGCACAACTGCTGTTCCCATGACCACGGATAAATCACCATCAACATTCTACACGACAATGGCAGACCCATCTACAGCAACGACTACAACGAAAGGACCAAGCCGAACTGACGACAGACATACAATAGGGCTACTTTTACCGAAATCAGCGTTCATAGAAGGTTCGTCTGCATGTGCAATATGTTGATATGTAAGCTTTTGAGGACAAGAGTGAGTTTATAATGTTTTGTGAATACAGTCTCTTCAATATTAAAATACCCTGTGTCGATTGTACAGCTCCGACTACAGCATAAGCATGGGAAGCAAATAGTAATGACAGTAGGTGTTCTCGAAAATCTTTCAATCACTCGACTGATATTGGGAGATTATATTTGCTCCTATAAACACATCCTGTCTGACAATCTGGGTAATGCAGAAGGATGATTGAGGGACTAGGTGTCTACACTTCTCCCTAGGTGAGTTCCAAGGAGGGCTTCCCGGCAGAAGTCACAATCAAGGGTCCTGAACTGATGATGATGATGATGATGATGAACCTTACCAGCCTGACTGTAACTACAAAGCATAACAATGAGAATGGAGGAGATAAGGAGAAAGCTGAGCAGTATACAATCTGAAATTAAATAATGTGAAACCAAAAAATCCATCAGAATTAGAGATGTATCATTAAGACCATAATATACGCTAATGTGGTTTTCAAAGTGAGCCTGGCATTTCTCAAAACTAAGTACAGTTCCGACCGACAGAACCAAGAGTTTGAGTAATAACCTGAACTATCGCCAGTAGATGCTCGAGTGTCAACAAGCTCTACACGCTGGAGTAACAAATTATAATATAACAAATAGTTAATTTTAACGAATGATGCAATAAGTGACTTTATTAGATATAATCTTCAAGTGTGATAGTATCGTATATTTCCCATTCAAGAAAGGTACAGTTAATGATAACCCCATGGTCTAACGTTCAATCGTTTTTAACAAAGCTCCCATTCAGTTCTTTGTCAGGCCTTGAACTATTTCCTTTGTACACATCGTAAATAGTAAACGTAAATCGGTCTCAACTATTTGCCCACACAGATGTCATTAGGCGTAAAAGACGACATTGCTATACAGATAAATGTTTACAACAGGGTTGTATTTCTCCATGACCCGTGCAGATCCGTGTTCGAACTGATTATCAGTGACCCATGCTTGTCGTAAGAGGCGCCTAATGGGATCGGGTGGTCCGGCTTGCTGACTTGGTTGACACATGTCATCGGTTCCCAGCTGCGTAGATCGATGCTCATGCTGTTGATCTGGTCCAGACTCGATTATTTACAGACCGCCGCCATATAGCTGGAATATTGCTGAGTGCGGCGTAAAACTAAACTCACTCACTATTTGTACATGGCAACCACTTCATAATGACATGTATCTATTTTATTTTTTTATAAAATGACATAATGCAATTTTCAGATACTCCTCCGCCAACGTCTGAAGAAACTAAATCCACTACTCCGTCCTCCAGCGTTGATTTTACTACACCTCAACCTACTTTGAGTTTGGGCTTGTTACCAGTAGATCCTGTTGTAATTAACTTGTATACTGGACAGTCTTCATCTATTCGATTAAACTTGGTTGATTCCAGTGAGGTACAAACTGATGTTGACCAATTAGTTCGTATGGAAGCTCCTCTTCGTCGGAGGGCAAGAAAACATCAAAATGGGAGATATATCGGAGTCAATCAATGTTGCTATGATAATAATGAATGTTTTGAGAGTGCATCACCACTTGCACTTCCTTATGACCATAGTTATTTGCAAAGTAATCGCTCTTGGAAGATGATTGGCGTATGACGTGAAAATTGCATGTGTACGATTTTTCATTTTTCATCGGAATTGATTAAAGAATTATATTATCTATGAATAAATATTAACCTATGTCTTTTTTATGCTTTTAACGGCACTTACTTTTATATTCATTCAGGTAAGCAAGTTTCCACCTTTTCCGAGATGCCTGATTCAGCCGGTAGTCGTGAAGATTACGATGGTTACAAAACTGTTGCGAATCCTGACAACTGTAAGGAATTCTGCCGGGCCTACGGTTGGTGCGTTGCAGCAGAGTTCGACTTCAACACCTACGGCTGTTTTTCTGTACAACGGAGACACACAGATCTCGGCGCAAGAAAGGAAGCGTATTCATGAAACAGCAATACACTAAAGGTAAACGGTAATCCTTGGCCTGATGCAAATTTACTCTTTGTTGGAGTTATACTTACTTTGATGCTGTGTTGAATATCCTTCTAAAGACAGCGTAATTTCTTTAGGATCGTAAATCTATCATCGTGTAGCACATATAAAGCTTCTGATATTCAGTGACAACTACTCAGCCAGCGACAACGACAGCTACCTCTTCCAGCACAACTGCTGTTCCCATGACCACGGATAAATCACCATCAACATTCTACACGACAATGGCAGACCCATCTACAGCAACGACTACAACGAAAGGACCAAGCCGAACTGACGACAGACATACAATAGGGCTACTTTTACCGAAATCAGCGTTCATAGAAGGTTCGTCTGCATGTGCAATATGTTGATATGTAAGCTTTTGAGGACAAGAGTGAGTTTATAATGTTTTGTGAATACAGTCTCTTCAATATTAAAAATACCCTGTGTCGATTGTTTTAGCTCCGACTACAGCATAAGCATGGGAAGCAAATAGTAATGACAGTAGGTGTTCTCGAAAATCTTTCAATCAGTCGACTGATATTGGGAGATTATATTTGCTCCTATAAACACATCCTGTCTGACAATCTGGGTAATGCAGAAGGATGATTGAGGGACTAGGTGTCTACACTTCTCCCTAGGTGAGTTCCAGGGAGGGCTTCCCGGCAGAAGTCACAATCAAGGGTCCTGAACTGATGATGATGATGATGATGATGAACCTTACCAGCCTGACTGTAACTACAAAGCATAACAATGAGAATGGAGGAGATAAGGAGAAAGCTGAGCAGTATACAATCTGAAATTAAATAATGTGAAACCAAAAAATCCATCAGAATTAGAGATGTATCATTAAGACCATAATATACGCTAATGTGGTTTTCAAAGTGAGCCTGGCATTTCTCAAAACTAAGTACAGTTCCGACCGACAGAACCAAGAGTTTGAGTAATAACCTGAACTATCGCCAGTAGATGCTCGAGTGTCAACAAGCTCTACACGCTGGAGTAACAAATTATAATATAACAAATAGTTAATTTTAACGAATGATGCAATAAGTGACTTTATTAGATATAATCTTCAAGTGTGATAGTATCGTATATTTCCCATTCAAGAAAGGTACAGTTAATGATAACCCCATGGTCTAACGTTCAATCGTTTTTAACAAAGCTCCCATTCAGTTCTTTGTCAGGCCTTGAACTATTTCCTTTGTACACATCGTAAATAGTAAACGTAAATCGGTCTCAACTATTTGCCCACACAGATGTCATTAGGCGTAAAAGACGACATTGCTATACAGATAAATGTTTACAACAGGGTTGTATTTCTCCATGACCCGTGCAGATCCGTGTTCGAACTGATTATCAGTGACCCATGCTTGTCGTAAGAGGCGCCTAATGGGATCGAATTGGTCCGGCTTGCTGACTTGGTTGACACATGTCATCGGTTCCCAGCTGCGTAGATCGATGCTCATGCTGTTGATCTGGTCCAGACTCGATTATTTACAGACCGCCGCCATATAGCTGGAATATTGCTGAGTGCGGCGTAAAACTAAACTCACTCACTATTTGTACATGGCAACCACTTCATAATGACATGTATCTATTTTATTTTTTTATAAAATGACATAATGCAATTTTCAGATACTCCTCCGCCAACGTCTGAAGAAACTAAATCCACTACTCCGTCCTCCAGCGTTGATTTTACTACACCTCAACCTACTTTGAGTTTGGGCTTGTTACCAGTAGATCCTGTTGTAATTAACTTGTATACTGGACAGTCTTCATCTATTCGATTAAACTTGGTTGATTCCAGTGAGGTACAAACTGATGTTGACCAATTAGTTCGTATGGAAGCTCCTCTTCGTCGGAGGGCAAGAAAACATCAGCTATGCTTTAACATCAATAAATTCATAAATGTAATATTACCAGGAAAAGCATTTCTTGTGCTAACGTGTGACAAGGGCAAGGCGTGGTTTCTGCCTGTTCTTCAAAACACCCATGTTGTATGTTTCCATGTACGTTACGGTGGAACCAATGGCAACGACCCCGTTCTCCATGTAGGGAAACACCAGTGTGAAGTTCCTAAAACAAATTACGATCAGTAGCCGGTTCCACCGAGCGCTGAGGAAGGAAACAGCAGCCCAAGGTGTGAGTGATGTGTCATCATATTTGCATTCATAGCCAGCGAGATGTGAAGCATATGGATGCTTTAAGTCCGGCAGACCTAGTCCCTGCTGCTGAAACTGCTGTCAAGGTTCTGAAAGATCTGCTGTTCTCGAACATAGCAAAATCTTTAATTGAACTAAAGGGAACTTTGTCGAGAACAGACCCTTTCAACACGGAACAGCGAGCAGGAAGAACAATCGTTACTCTTTACCCCAAATACAGATAACCAGGAAGAGACATGTCAAGCCGAAAGTACAAGATCGATGAAGTTGAAAGTATAAGGACGACGGTTCTATGCTAAGGAATCGTTGATATCGATGTCGACGTCAGTCTTAAGTCGACCAGAGCCCAAATGCACAGCTGCAGGTACACGCCAAAGAATGTGGAGGTCTCGCAGCCAAATGCGATTATAATACCGAATACGTATAAACCCAGCTGAATATTTCTGAGGGAGGTTTTATTGTATTTACTCGTCTTTAGTCGATATGTAAATATTAAAATACGGTTGATAATGAAATTGGTTCATTGACATGACTCAAATTAATTGACTAAACTTATTAATGCTTTATGTACTAGTCATGTAATCCCAGATAGGATAACATATGCTACAATACACTTCCTGCCACCTACAACAAGAAGTCACCTGCAGCCCAAAGACGCTGGGATTATCCAGTCATTCAAGGCTCATTACAGGAGACATCAGCTCAATCACCTTGTTGATTGCATAGAACCGCTAACTGTCCTACCTGGTTATAATGCCACCCTGGATATAATATTTTCTCCTGGACAAACGGTGGCATTATAACCAGGGTATACTGTAAATATATCCTATATGTAACTGTAGGTGCCCATATATGAGTGTTTCGTATTTAGCGAGAGCGTAGTTAACGTTTGTAGAACGAACTTGTCAAATGTATCCTATATGTAACTGTAGGTGCCCATATATGAGTGTTTCGTATTTAGCGAGAGCGTAGTTAACGTTTGTAGAACGAACTTGTCAAATGTATCCTATATGTAACTGTAGGTGCCCATATATGAGTGT